CTTTCCCTATTGGTTACTAATCGCTGAGTGGACTTTGGAAGTGGTTATTGACTATAGTTTTGGATACACTTCTATATAAACACTTTTAAAAAGAAAAAAATGAAATCAGTTTTTTCAATAAGTTAAGAATAAATTTTTGAAGAGATTAATATCATAGAATTTCAACTGATTAACTAACTTATTTACAAGTTAATTTTAAGTTTATAGAAAAGTTTATTTTCTTTTTCTTTCTTAATTTTTCTTCTTATAAGATGTAAGTATTTTTTGAGAAACTTATTCAAACAGGTAATTATGTTATACATCTCTTATGTGTATCTCCTCTTATGCAGCTGAAGAGTTGAAGTTGCCATACCTCAGTGCATATTTGGACTCAATTGGATCCAATTACAGGCACGGTGCAAACTTTGCAGTAGGAGGCTCCTCCATTCGTCCTGGTGGTTATAGTCCATTCCCTCTTGGCCTTCAAGTAGCGCAGTTCCTACAGTTCAAGTCTCACACCAACATTCTCTACAATCAGCTTTCTGACAGCAGTTAGTTTCTCTTCCCCTTCTGCATTTTTTTTCATGTTTATGTGGTTTTGCTAGTGCGCTAGATTAATCTGTATAGATATTGTTTCTAAGTTCCATCAAAAAGTGTGATCATCCTGAAGCATAATTAGAATTAGAATTAGAATTTAATACAACTACGACAAAAGTCTTATTTCATCAAGAATTTGTTTGTACACAGATTTACAAATAAAGAGCTTTATAGTATAGAAGCTTTCAAAAGCTCTATTTAAGTTTGTATCCAAACAAGTCCAAAGTGAGATTAGCTACATGGTTTGCACGAAACCATTGAACTTGATTAAAGATCAAATCTTGAAGAATATTATTCAGCATGAGATTCCTTTTAATAATTCCCTTCAATGTCCTCCATTGTCTTTCTCTCCCTCCTACACCCATCTTGACATTCCCATTTCTGCTATTCCCTCCATTATATTGTGCTAAAGTTGATGGCATATTTGAGAGACAATCCCTTTTAGAAAAAGCAGTAGATGGTGATTTCTAATGAACCCGTGTGATGTTCCAGGGACAGAACCACCTTTCAAGAGTAGTCTTCCACGGCCTGAGGACTTTTCCAGGGCCCTATACACCTTTGATATTGGACAAAATGATCTTGCATTTGGTCTTCAGCACACTTCACAGGAACAAGTTATAAAGTCAATTCCTGAAATCTTGAACCAGTTCTTCCAAGCAGTTCAGGTAAGCAACCCCCAAATCCATGTTGGCATTATCGGATATAGCGCTCTTTGGATACAAGTTTACCAAAGCTTTCAAGAGTTTTCTATTGAAAATTAAGAGAATTTTACAGTAGAAAAGTTTTTAAAAGTACTTTTAATTTGTATCCAAACATGCTCATAAACTAACAATAAAAGTTGGTTCCGGAACTAACACTAGTAATGGCTACATTTTAGCAACTATACAATGAAGAGGCAAGAGTGTTCTGGATTCACAACACTGGTCCAATTGGATGCTTGCCCTACAGTTACATTTATTATGAGCCTAAGAAGGGTAACATAGATGCAAATGGCTGTGTGAAACCTCAGAATGATCTTGCTCAGGAATTTAACAGGCAGCTCAAGGACCAAGTGTTTCAGCTGAGAAGAAAGTTCCCACTTGCCAAATTTACCTATGTTGATGTCTACACTGCCAAATACGAACTAATCAGCGATGCAAGAAACCAAGGTGATCTTTCAAGTCTCCAAATTCACACATAATTTAGGTGAATGCAATGTTTAGGCTACCAACTTAGAACCTATTTGGATACAAGCTTAAAAGGGTTTTTGAGAACTTTTCTACCAGAAAAAGCTCTTTCTTTTCCGTAGTGGAATTCTCAAAAGTTCTTCAAAACTTGTATCCAAGTAGACTCTTATCATTGTTCAACTAACTTCTATGCTTGATTTGTGACAGGTTTTGTGAGTCCATTAGAGTTCTGTTGTGGTAGTTACTATGGTTACCACATAAATTGTGGGAAGAAAGCCATAGTAAATGGAACAGTATATGGCAATCCATGCAAAAACCCTTCTCAACATGTTAGTTGGGACGGCATACACTACTCTCAAGCAGCAAATCAATGGGTTGCTAAACGCATTCTCTATGGTTCCCTCTCTGATCCGCCAGTTCCAATTGGGAAGGCATGTTTCTCAGTATAGTTCATTCAATTCATGCATTATCAACTTTGTTTAGATACAAGTTTAGAAGAGTTGTTCTATTGAAAAAAAAATTCATTGTTTTCTATAAAGATACTCTAAAAGACTCTTATAAACTTGTATCCAAAATGACTTCTTGTCACTTTACTGAGATAGAGTACCATACATTATAGGGGTCTTCATGTTGTTATTATATTTCAATAAACAAGCAATCTGTGTAAGAACAATTGGGGGTGGTGTGCACATGAGCAAGAGCATATCATAATTTATGTTGTGGGGAAAGCTAATGTAGCTTAATTTTGGAAATGTGAGATCACACTGTAACGGCTCAACACCGGAAAATGTTTATATCTTTAAAGGATTTGAAGAGAAGAATTTGTAGTCCAGTCAACTTAAAATATTTGGATTTTAGTGCAGGTCCCTTTTATAGTTCAATCTACTATGCCTTTAAATTTAAAATTGATTTTTTTAGTTTATATAATTTGAAAATATAATATTTTGGTCCTATACTTAAATGTCATTAATAAATCTGACAAACAAAACATTTATTATTAAATCTATTACACAAAGTCATTGTTAATAAAATATTACATTAAATTATTTTTGTTGGTGATGCTATAGGTAATTATGTGAGATTAAAATAAATTTTTTTATAAAAAATATAAAAAATAAAAAGATTAATTTTAAATTTGAAGAATCACAAATAAACCTACTCCAAATTTATAGAATTAAAAACATTTTTAAGTTTTATTTAAAATTAAAATTAGAACTTTTAATACGCATTTGTAGCATGCTGGAAACTGGGCCTTGTCCCGTGCTCTCTCTCTCTGGTCCAACAAACTGGGTTTCGTTCAAGTCTTTTCTTTTTGGGTTGTTTATATGAGATTTATGTGTATTTGGGCTATACGGTCTGGAATTCCTTTTGTAAGTTTGCATACGATGAATTAGGATTTTGAATATGTTTTTATTTTATTTTTAACATTATTGTTATTACTTTTTTGTGCGTACAGAATTTACTAAAAAATAAGTTAGTGGAAGAATAAAAATCTGATTAACATAAAAATGAAAATGAACATTATTTACCTTTCATTTACTTAAGTTATAAGTGTTTCACTCTCATAATAATTCAGAAATAATGATAGTTACGGAATAATAATAAAACTATCGCAAATAAAAGAGTATTTCACAATCATAATTTGACTTAAATAATAATTATCATATTATAGTGGGTTAAATATATAGCATAAACCGGATGCAAATGGCTGTGTGAAACCTCAATATGAACTTGCTCAAGTCAAAACTACCACTTGAAAGATTTACATATGTTGATGTATACACTGCCAAATATGAACTAGTCACCAAATCAAGGAACCAAGGAATCTTCAAAGACGTGGGCAGATACGATTTTTACGCAGAAATGTCTTACATTACAATGTAAGCAAAGAAAAGTGGAGGGGCATGTGTGTGTGTATCTCTCATCTATGTGTCAATTTTAATATATGAAGTCTGCAGTGTCATATTCATGCTTGTCACGTTCATATATAAGATCCTTGACTATAACATAGGAACTTAAAAAAAAATATGGTTGCATCCAAAACGTGGTTAGAAGCAACTGTGTTTTCTAATGGGACGTTTGGCCTACCAGCAGCAGTGAAAATTATGTTTCAACATCCATTTGTACACATAGAAATTTGAATTTCCACCATATATATAATAAATTTCATTATACAAGGAAAAATTTGAATAAGCGAAATTTCCTCTTCACTATAGAAAATAAAGTAGACATATAAAGTAAATTCTGTGAAAATCCTTTTGTAACAAACAATATGAAGTGGAACCTGCTTCCACTTTGTTATTGTTTTCCTGGCCAAATTTGCAAACAATGATCAAAATAACCAACCAAACCAGTTAATCTCATCTTGTTTTATATACAGCCTCGGATTCATAGGACCTTAATGCCATTGTTTTTCATAAGCTGAGAGTTGGTATCAAGGAGAGTTTCCAATGATCTTCTTGATTTCCTGTTCCTGGCCCTGCCTGCTTCTTTCAACAACTCTTCCAACCTACGCTTCTCATCATCCACATCAGGGTTTGCTGTTCCAAGCTTCTCTTCTCTCATCACAACTACATATTCCAACATTTCAATGGCATCATCCACTCTGCAAAACATTACAAATCAACAACAAATATTAGCAACCATAGACCGAAAATTAAGTGTTCTTATAATGCATGAAGTAGTAAACAAAAGAGATGAAGGAAGTAAAAGTGACAACAAATACCATCATGCTTTCATACATGTACTTGTAAATAATCTATATAATGAGTATTTTCGATGTCATCTAATCACAAATTGTCACGTATGATAAGTTTATTAACTATAACAATAATTACCATAAATATTATATGAACGGTGATTTCTGATTGATTGACAGTGTATAAAAATTAAACTCTTTTCGAATCAAAACAACAACGGCTAAGCATAGTAAACATAGTACCTTCCCATAGCATCATAGGTTCCTGCTAAATTGCTATAGACCCCTAAGGTGTCTGGGTGATAAGGACCATACTCTTTCTCCAAAATAGCCCTGGCCTCTTCAAACAAATCTGCTGCCTCATTTATAGCATAACACTGCACACAGGCAAGGCCCATTTGGTTCAAAGCAATCCCAAACAAAGCAGATTTCTTCTCCCCGCTTGCACGAAATTTGGCAATGGCACTCTTGAAGATGTTGTAAGAGTCAGAATAGTTCCCTAGCATGTAATACATAACCCCCATTTGGGCCTCAATTCCTGCAACAGTGCTTTGTTGGCCAGGAGCATTGCCATATATCTTCAAGGCCTTTTTGAGCAGCTTCAACCCCTTCTCCAAATCATTCATGGACTGATAAATAGCAGCAACATCTATCAAACCACTAGCAATCTCTTCTGAGGGGATTCCTGGCTTGATCTTACCAAAAATTCTGAGTGCATTTTCACAGTAAGACTTAGACTCCTTGAACTTCCCTATTTTGTTGTACAGATCAGCCAACCTCACATACACTGAAGCAACTGTTGGATGATTCTCTCCCTTGGTTGATTTGAAGACAGTGAGTGCCTTCTGATAAGAAAACACTGCCTCATCGTAACGCGCCAACGCCAAATAGGCATCACCAATGCTGCAATCCACTGCAGCCACATCTGCTTCATGATCATTTGCAGCCATTGCCATGCTTGCCAAAACATAATGCTCAAGAGCAGCCTCATAATCACCCTTTGAGTCACAGATAAGTCCCATTAGTCTTCTATCTGCTGCTTCCTCAATTGAAGCAGGAGCACCATTTCCTCTGTGGATATCAAGAGCCATCTGACACAGCTTCTCAGCCTCATCAAACTGCAATGCTTGAACATGAGCCTCAGCCACATACCGGCACGTCTCACCAAATCTCGGATCAGTTTCCCCCAAGACCTGGCCTTGAATCTCAAGGCCTGCTGTGTAAAAAAGCAGAGAATTCTCAATCTGCCCCATCATTGCATAAGTGTCTCCCAATTGCATGCAGCCTGCAAACTTGGCCAGTGCATGATCTTGGCCATCCTCCAACACAGGAATCTCAATGGAACGCTCAAGAATTGGAATGGCCTCATTGTACTGTCCTAAATTGCAGTATATAGTTGCCAAGACATGCAGGCACATGACCATTTCTAAACTTGGTTTCCCATTTGCACAAATCTCAAATGATTTCAAAGCTCTAAGAGCCAAATCAAGCGCTTTTCGAGGATTCTCACCTGATGAGATCATATCTCTTGTTTGCTTGAGCAAAAACGGTCCCAAGTCTGGATTATCTAACCCTGCAGCAATTCGCTCCTCAATCCCCTTCAAACCAAGGCTCCTCCTATGCTTCCTCATGTGGTGAACACCATTTGCTTTTCTTGCACCCTTTTCATTCCTCTTAGGAGTTGCCTTGGATGATCCTTCAATTGGGGCTGGAGAGGATTGGTTACTATTATACTTCTTTGTAGGTTCTTTACCAGATGACACAACATCTTTCTCATGAGTTGTCCCATTAGCATTGGCATTGAAGTCCTCTTTATTCTCTGTAACCACCTCCTTTGTGATCTCCAAATCCACAATGTCTCCAACAAGATGGCCCAGTTCTGAATCAATCCTGGACTCACCATCATATGAGTAAAAGCTAGCCCTGGAGGGTGAGTGATCAGAACTCCTCATTTCACACACATTGTGATACAATTGCTCAATTGAGGTATCCACCACCCCATCAATAGCCAAATCAATTGAATCACTCTGAATGCTTCTTGGACTCAGTGTACTCCTTGGTGATGCTTGTTGAGCAAAGTTTTCCTTGTGGGGAGTGTAACTCCCACTGGGTTCCTCTGCTGCACTATTTGCATTCAATTCATCCATGGCCAAACCAGGCATTGAACACAATAATCAGAACCTCACCTAAAATCAATAAGCAAAAAAAAAAAAAAGGTTAGAAATTCATCAAAAATCAAATTTTGCAATACAATAATGTTTGGGGTGTCATACAAAATCAAGAGCCAATTTTCACTTTTCATGTTCAGACCACGAAACCAATGATGACTTCACGGGTGTTAATAATATTTCAACAAAAAAGTATCTGAGAAGAAACAGAAAAGAAACAAAAGTAAAAGGGAAATGAATCAAACTTTATAAGCCATTACAGCAATCCAAAAAGAGAAAAAAGAAAAGGCAAAAGCAACTAAAAATATTCCATCTGGTTGATTGCGTGAAATTGCTTCCTCACAGATGCTCCTTATGCACATCACATCACAACACAACACAAAAAACGTTTTCTGAAATTCCATCATTGTCAGTGATCAAACTCAGGAGAACAACAAAAAGCAATGTGAAACAAACAAGAATACAATCAAGAAATTAAGCACTTTGTTGGAAACAGAAGAAAGCAATGAAAATGCAGCACCAAACAAACCTCATAGAGAACACAAAAGGGTGTGTCATGTGTGTGATTGAAGTCATTAAATGCAGGAAGTAGGAACCAGAACCAAAGCAAAACAATACAATAGAGACAATGAATGAGGGTGTTGGTGTGTTACCTTTAGTACTCTCCGAAGAATATAAGCCAAAACTTCCAAGGTTGCTTGCTTGTATGGGTCTTATGAACAGATGAAGAGATATGGGTCAACATAGCTGTACCATTTGTGTTGGCATGCATTTATATATGTGCATGTGGGGTGTGGAACAAGGATTGGAATTTTGAGAAAATGTGAAGGGCAAAATGGGAATGAAAATTTAAATTATTGAGATTTTCTAGATAATGATAATATGCATCATGTGTAAGAGTTGTACTTGCTCCAGAGAGTTGGAATGTTGAAGCAAAACCAAGAAGGTGACCTCTCTCCCACTCTTTC